ATTTTATTAAGGGTCTATAGAGTCTACAGGGTTTCACTATGTAGGTCGGACTCGTAGTGATCCACCTGTGTTTAGCCTCCCAAGAGCTGAGATTCCAGGTGTGCACCACCATGCCCAGTCTCAATTGCTATCTCAGTAGGCTCAGGGAACGGGGCCGGCACAACAGGCCAGGGATTGAACCTCCAACCCCTTAATCCACTGAGCTATTTGGCAGGCCCTCTAAGCTCCTTTCAAAAGTTGGATAAAAAATGCCAAATCCTGTGCCTCTTCTACTGCCACTATGTCCATTCAGACTCACTCTTAACCAACTCATTCTGCACAAGTTTCATTTTCGTTTCCTCAGGAAACTCAGTGAGGACAGTCAGGGGTACACACTTGGCATGTTTTTCTGGTGGTCCTTGATGATAGGAACAAATATATTTGTGGCTGTTTTTATGAAAAGATCAGACACTAAAAGATGACCCCTGGTGAGCACAGTTGCACCCTCTCGTGATGTACATGTTGAAACCTTAACCCTAATGTGGCTACATCCAGATATGGGCATTAAGAAGTGATTAAATGAGCTCACAGTGGTGAGGCCTTCATACAATAGAATAATGGTCTTACAAGGACAAGAGGACAGAGATCCCAGCGTCCTTAGCATAACACAGTGACTTGAAGGTAACTGTCTGCAGCTCCAGGAGAGACATATCTAGGTCTGCCCTCATCTTGACCTTGCATGTCCAATCTCCAAAACTTCGGAAAATCTGTTGTTTAAGGCATTTGGTCAGTGCTGGTTTTGTTCTCCTGACCTGAGCTAACTAACATATACTTTGGTACCAAACATCATGATTCTGCTTTAAAAATATAGACATATAGGCATGTGAAAGTGACTTGGAAACTGGAAATGGGTAGCAAGTGGAAGACAGCAAGACCAAGGCTAGCAATACAGATACTAAGGTTGGTTCTGATTAGCTCTTAGAAAGAAATGAGGAATGTTACTGAAAACTGGAAGAAAGGTGATCCCTGTAAAATGGCCAAGAATTTGATGAAAGAATGTTCTAATATTTGGGGGAAGGTAGATCTCATGGGTGATGAAATTGGATGCAGTATTTAACAGGGAGGATTTCTAAACAAAATGTTTAATGAAATGTTTTTCCTTCAACTGTGTATGCTAAAATTCATATGCAGAACGTAATCTAAAGAAGCAGTTGTTAGCTCAGGAAGGACCAGAATTTGAAGATCTGAGAAATTCTGAGCCTATCTATATTTCAGAAAACTAAGACAGTGTGTTCAGCATGGAACCTTGTTGTGTGACTGGGCAAATACTGGATGTGATAAAGAGATTATGGGTGACTCATCTACTTCCTCATTTCAGCAGGAGCCAAGGATAAGGATGTCACTGTGCCCACAGAGACACTGTCAGTTAGCTTAATGGGGAACAGAGAAAACAGAATGGGATGAAGAAAGCCTACCCCGCTTGTGTTGTTGCTATAGATGCTATTCCACAAGGAAAGGACAGTTCGGGCCTTGTAAAAGCTGCCAGCTCCCTCATGGCCCAGGGAGCAGAGCTCTTTCCTTCTTTGGTTTCAAAGCAGGTGACTGCACATTTGGGTTGCATGAGGTGCCTCACAGGAGGGAACACTCACAGAGCACTGTGAGGGCAAGCGTCTCAGAGAGAAAAAGGCCTGGCTGGTTCTCCCAACCTTGTGGGGCTGAAGGGCAGAGCAGCAAACCCGAAAATTATTCTCCATTTGTTTGGTTTGTTTGTTTACTTTTTCTTTTCTTTAGCTTTGATTTTATTTTTTGGTTTGTAGGTGTTTTGTTTTGTGAGAGGGTCTCATTTTGCAATGCTGGTTGGCCTTGCACTCACTGTGTAGCCCAGGCTGGCCTCAACTCACAGGGATGCTCCTGCGTCAGCCTCAGAAGTGCTAGCATTACAGGCATGTGCTGCTCCCAGATTAGTTTGATTTTTTAAGATAGGATCTCACCGTGTAGTTCATGCTGGCCTTGAACTCACTATATAGCTCAAGCTGGTCTCTGACTTGCAGGAATCCTGCTTCAGCCTCCTAAATGCTATGTGCCACCACACCCACTCATATTTTTGTTTCCTGATTTTTTTTGGCAGGGCAGGATTCAAAGAGAATTATTCTTGAGGTTTAAAATCTGTTGGAATCTTTCTTGATAGGTTTTAGAGTTGCTTAAGACAAACTTTTCTTTCATATATATGAATACGTTGGTATGGAATGTAGGTAGCTTGCACCACAGTTCTGTTTTGTAATCACATAAATTGAATGATTTCATGAATTCAGAGCTGGAATAGAGTTTACTTGAGGCTGAACCATACCTAGAGTCTTAAACAGATATAATTTAGGTACTATTTAGACAAACTTGGGATTTAGAATTTATATTTTGATTCTAGAATAACTGTAAGCCATTTGAGGATTTTGAGACAGATGAACATATTTTACATGAAATGGGGATATGTTATGGAAGAAGCTATAGGGTCCCCAGAGTCATAGATTGGAGCCCTCATCCCCACTATAGCTGGATCTGGAGGTGGTGTGTTTAGCAGTAGTTATGAGATCATAAAGACAAGTTCCTATGTCACTGTAATTGTGGTTTTACAAGAAGAAAAAAGAGAAGCATTTCTTTTTCTCTTCATTATGTGAGGACAGTGCGAAGATAACTGAGAACATTCCTCAAAAGGCCCTGAGAAGTAAATTTCAATTATTGAACCAACCAGTTAGGTACAGGACGCTGCTTCTTCAGCCCTCAGCCCCCAGCTCCTCCCCTGAACTTGTGATCTCTGGCCAAGAACCTGAACTCACTTTGCTCATTAGTGAACTAAGGATTATAATATTATTTGTCACCTAGATTTATTTAAAGTACTTTATGAAAAGCACAATATAAATTGGCTACTATAATTACTAACACCAAACATACTTGGTAACTAACTTTAAACATTGCCAAGTTGGCTTTTTATCTGAAATCAGTCATTTTTTTCCAGAAAATTCTCCACATAAAATTGGACCCATTTTTCTTTATATGTTAGGGGAGAGGGCTAATTAGAAGTCAGTCTTTAAGAAATTACCTTAGGTGTTGTGGCAAACATCTCTAATCCTAGCACTTTGGGAGGCTGAAGCAAAAACATCCCAAGTTTGACCTCAGATTGGACAACTTAACAGGACTTTCTCTCAGTATAAAAATAAATAAATAAATACAAATATAAAAGGGATGGAAATCAACGCAAAAACCCTGGGTTTAGTCCTTATTAATGCAAAAAAAATTTTTTCTTTTATGGCATCTGACTTCTCTGACAGATTGTAGTTTCAGAAAGAGCAGAAATCATTGTTTTTCTCTGCATTCCCCAGAGACCCTTTAGTGAAGCACTCAGTACACATTGAGTAGAGGCTGACAGGCAGGAAGGTGGAATGGAAGAAAGAAGAAACATAGACAACATTGTATATTAAGGAAGAATGCTCCAAGAACTCAGAATACATGAATTCAGTCTGACATTAAAGCAGATGCACATCATCATGTAGAACATACAGAGCGAGGGAACAAATGGCAGGAGCGTGAGCTCAAGAAAAGCTCCCACGTTTCCAGTTCCATTAATTCAGCCTTAACTCACTCAGCATCACCGAGTCGTCCATGGCTTGGTGCTATAGAAAATGGCTAGAAGGCAAACCACCTCCCTTTCCTCATGCTTAGCATCATAGTTATTATGTTATCTTTTTAGATAAATGCAATCGTTATAAAAATTATCCACTGTGTTCATATTAAAAGTAGAAATACTGTGTCATAATGAAACACTCATTCTAAACCTTTCAGAAAGAATATTACAGCAAATCTTTATCCGGACCCTCAGTATTATTTTCATAATTAACAATAATAGCTATTTATATAATTTACAATTTTGCATTACAATTCAGTTTACACACCATTCACATTTCAAAAGTATATAAATGTATGCAGATAACCTCCAGTTGGTAGCTCTGTTTTGCTTTTTCTTTAATAACAGTAACATTTATACATACGGTATAGTATAAAAATCGGTTGCTCTGTCTGTTACACTCTTAATATTTCATTCACAGAGATTGAGAATTTGCCACACGAAGATGATCCTGGCGTTAACGAGTCACTTCTTTCAGCCTCAGATCAGCCAAATCTAGAGAAAGAGGACGGGGACAAGGACAGTGATTTGTCGGAGTTGTCGTTTGCAGATTCTTCCATAGTTTCAGGTATCTGACACATGTAGATATTTTACATACACTTTCAGAATTGGTATTTCAGAAGAATCAGCTGGGGCATTAATGACAGCAGTATCTATTAAATGTGGGAGGAGGTTGAGATTTGGGCACTAAAGTTTATGAATATTTTGTTAAAATAATATGTTTAAGAGATTAAAGTTGAATAATTCCTCTTTGGCTTACCCATTTTAAATGAGTACAACATTAATATGCTATAAAGATGAACATTTTTGTTTCCAATTTTCTTAAGAAATCTGTGGTCATTCTAATACGATTATTGTCATAAGCATGTGCTGTATCTTAGGGTTCCCAAAATATATACATTAATCAATTTAATTCACCCAAACCTCCTCAAAATAATTAGGACACTTACACTTCCCTACTTTTGTGGACAGAGATCTCAAAGATGTTCCGCTGTTTTACCAACGAAGGTGAACCCATACTAAGGTAGAATCGGCTTGAGTTTCGGTAACGATTTGGTATGAGGATCAAATATCAACATCTTTACCTTTTTGGTACTGAAACAACCCTGGGAGAAGCAAAGTAATGATCTTTTCCTTCTTTACTCAGGGTAGGAGAATCCTCTTTCCTTCCATTCCTTCCAGACGTCAACGTCAATGTTGTATTTCCACCAAAAAAAAAAAAAAAAATTAAAGTGTGTGGTATGCTAAGAAATGGAGCAAGTAGGTCTCTGAGGCAAAGAAAAAACCCTTGATTTCTAATATCATTTGCCAGTATCTGTGGTGTAAATATTTCAGGCTTCTCAGCCTAAGTCCCTGGTGGCCAGGCTAGGAGGAGATGTGCAGTAACTCTGCCATTGGCTAGCATTTGCACTGTCTGTGTACAGGGAAGCAAAATCAAGATCCAATGTAACGGTGAAACCTACTACAATGATGAGAAGGCACTCATTTTCAGGGTGTTTTCTCCCATTTGAAATTCAATTTGTGTAATTGTAAATTTACGTAATTTTTTAAAAGACTGTGCTTAACAATTGGCTTGCAGTGTTCTCAAACATTCAGCAACTGGATCTTGTGCAGTGGTATAAAGTGACTCTTCGTTTGCCACTGCAAAGTATATTAATTCTACTTACAAAGTGACATAGTGGTGCCAAAGAGACAAAGAGCTTGTCTCATTCTCGTAGCGCAGCTATTCTATGTGTGTGTGTGTGTGTCCTCGGTTCTTTCACATGGCTGGGCAGGTATGCATAACGGTTTGTTTCCTGTGCTTGCTAAATGCTCCTCTTGAGGGTGGCTTTAATGACTCAAGAATGGTCCCATTATTTGGGTGCGGTATAATTAATTAACCAATCGTTGATCATTTAGTATTTTTCCCAATGACTACATGCTTAAAAATGTGTTGCTATCCCTCTGTATTACTTCCTAAAATTGTACACAATTGAAATTTCTGGTTCAAGTGACTTTCACTATTTCAATACACATGATAGAGACACATTTCACTGTACCAATTTACTATTCTCCCGCAGTAGAGGAGAATGCCTTATTACCATGAATTTTCTTCTACAAATTTAGTAATATCATTCATTTTCAATCTTTTGCCAATTTGGTTGCTATTAAAATGATATAGTCTTATTTGAATTTTTACTAAAATATGTTTGTAAGTTCCTTTTCTTTGTGATGTTGACTGTGTGTTCATTTTCTATTAGAAGATTTATGTTCTTTTGCTGAATTTATGTGAACTATTGAAATCTATCGGGTATCAATCTTTTGTACAAATAGTGTCAATGTTTTGTAGTTCACTCGCTTTTTAGGCTTATGGTATATTGCTTTATTGCTTTCCATTATATAGTATGTTGGGCTTATTTTTTAATGCAATACTTCTAAACCATCTGGAGGTGGAGGTTTATTGAAATTCAGATGCTGATTCAATAATTATGGAGGAGGGCCTGACATTCTACCTTTTCCACGAGCATTCAGATGCTGCTCCTGCTGTTGGTTGCGTATCGTACTCTAAGAGCACATTTCAATATATAACATAACAAAGCTTTGAAACCTGAATTCTAGTGGAGCTTTTTTATCCATACTTTCCTATATCAATATTCTATAGAGATGCCAAAATCCGCTATCTGAAGTTGGAGTGGAGTTTTCATTTTGTAATAAATTTTGATCATTTCCCTGACATCTCTGTAGGGAGTTTTATAAATTCACAGTAGAAAGGGTTAAAACTGAATTGAAGCTAAAAGATAAATGTGCTTCTTTTTTTTTTTTTTTTTGCTCCGAATGCCTTCAGGGCAGGTTTGGCTGACTTGAGCTGAGGGGATCGAACCACAGCAACCTGAGCCTGACTGCTTTGTTGAAGCAGCCACTTAAAGAACTGAGCTAAGGGGCAGGCCCCCAAAGGTGCTTCTTAAATGAGAGTTTTTCACCAAAACTTACCAGGCACCGTTTAGCAGTTTGTACTTTGTCTACTCTGAGTTTCAAAGTAAACTAAGTTAAAAGCAAATGTTTTAAATATATTTTTCCTTTTTTACTTTTTAGTAAAAAGCTTGCATTTTTTATTTTAAGTGTATCTTGTATGAAAATTTAGGTTTTAATAATGATCTTAAGGAATAGAAAAAGTTTGGAGGGATCTGTCTGTTTCCACCCTGGGAGTGTCACCCAGACAGAAGTCACCTTTAGCTCTACTCACAGTAGGTGATACAAAAGAAAGCTACAGAATGTTAAAACATGGAATACCCTGAAAATGCCCAAGTGTCCAGTTAGCAGGTGGGAAACGGGTCTCACAGCCCACAATTATCTTGTTGAATGCAGCAGTCCTTACCCTGCTTACAAATCTGCAAATCTCTTACATACTTATAAGCAGGTTAGGCCAATCCGTGCAGGCCCTCTCCAGAACAGTACCAAGGGGAGCTCGTTTATAAATATATATTGTCTTTGTCCTAAAACTTTGCTTTGGTCACTGCTGATACAAAGTGCTATGGATCATTTCATGTTGTCTGTTGATTTTTGTCTTAAGAACTAAGAATTATTGATATAAATAACTTATAAGGTATTATTGGCCCACAGAAGTTATGGAAGCCCTTTTGACTGAACTTGTAGCAAAATTTTACATGGAAGAAAATTGCCTACAAAGGCATTCTCAACATTAACAATCAAAATAAATGTGGAAATATTCCATGGTTCTTAGTATGAATTTGCATAATTTGTTATATATTTTCCTGATATTGGCAATATATCTTCATTTTGAATTCCAACATATTGGGTTAATATTTCAGATAGTTGCCAAAACAGCAGTGGAAGAAACTTCTACTCAAGCTATATACATTCTGTAAATAAGAATTTTTCATGTGCAGAAAAAAGTGACAAATTATTACTAAAAGTAAGACATCTCAGTATTATTTAGGAAACGGTTTTGAGGTTGTTTTCAGTGTGTGGTTGTATTAGTGAATCCAGATATTATTAATCATTTATATCTTTAATCCAAAAAGTCCTCATATGTTGCTTTTGAGTCCATCTTACTTCTTAATGCAGCTAACCACTACCTCTAGTAACAGTGGTTCCCTCTAGGACCAATTTTAATTATATCTGTCTTTCACACTCAGGTTAATGTGTCAAAATTCTCTAACAGATAATTTTGAAGGCAAGTTTCACCCTGTCTCCACCCTCGGGACTAGCAAGTCTCCCTTCTTTCTTCTCACGACAATCAATTGCTTCACATTAAAAGATGGATAATAGTTCAGATGTAGCAAAAATTCCCAGGCTAACAGTCATTTCTAAACAATATTTGAACATTCATCAGACTGTTCATATGATTTTTTCTTACTGTATATTGTTTATTTCTTATTCTTCCTTTGTATGTTCTTTTTTATTTTTAAAAGAAAATAAAAATAATAAAAAATAGAAATGACACAGAATTTCACTAAACAAGATCATAGGAATTAATCTTAGATGTAACAGTCCCACATTTGGAAGTGACTGGTCATATAAGAAAAATATATTACAAAACTGACTTTTTTCAGACTTTATTTCTCTGGAAAAACGTCAGTGAGACCCAAAACATACATTTGTTTTCTTCCATTAAAATACATTAATTAAAGCAAATAGAAAGCTTATTGGTAACTTTAATTTTATAAATTTACAGCAAAGTTATGCAGTTTTAATTATATTATTGTTTTATAAAACAAGTAGTTATTTGTAGTGGACCTTATACTTTTCCATGATTAATGTCCTACATAAAATAAATTATATTAAGTAGTAAATACATGATAAAAATACAATTTGAACAAACTCTTTTTTTTTTTTTTTTTTTTTTTGATTCATTTTTTTTGTATTGTTTCCTTAGTCTTCATTACACTAATTTTTGGTCAAGTTAAACCGAAAATCCGTGACAGTTTTTTGTCAAATCTTCTGATTTTAGAACTGCAAATACTTCATGTTGGCCAGCAGAGGGCGACGTTACACTTACAAAAAGAAACAAACTTCACTGCTGCAGTGTGGAAAATTATCCCGTAACTGCGGAATGTGCCGTGGGTGCACACATAGTGCGCATGACTATGAATGCATGTGTATATTTTGATTTATATATTCGTTCACGTGAAGATTTTAAAATTCCACCCCAGCTAATGAGCTCACCAACCTGCTTGTTTTCAGACTTTAATACCTTCTTTTTCATATTCCCCCATATGTTCAACTCCTTAGGTTTATCCGGTGACATTATGCTTTGGAATATATTGTGGATATATTTTGCATAGATCATGTTCTGTAGGAGGGGTTTAAAAATTGACCTTTATAAAACAGCCTTCTTCTCCCTAGCCCAATCTGTTGTAGCACTTTTTTTTGTTGTTGTTGTTTTGTTTTGCCTTTTTATAGACCAAAGTCCAATCTTAGATTTGGTCTATACTAATTTCTGTAAAAGTGCCACACCATTTATCCTTGCACTTGAGGACCAGAATAATGTGATACAGCAGAAACCTGTAAAAATCTAAAGATTTTCAGAATCTCTAGAAATAAAATACCATAGCATTTGGGACCTAA